CTGACTGGCACATTTGCCCAGGAGTTGTGTGGCAAGAAAAGGTGGAGTGTTAAAGCCAGATGAGGAGCTCCTCCATTTGGTCCTCCCTCTTGTGTACTCTCCAGTTTGTTTTCTGTAGACCCTTTCCAGGTAACCCATCTTGTTTCATGTGACTCAACAGTTGGGGCTGTTCAGCCTGGAGAAGAGAAGGCTGCATGGAGACCTCATAGCAGCCTTCCAGTATCTGAAGGGGGCCTATAGGGATGCTGGGGAGGGACTCTTCATTAGGGACTGTAGTGATAGGACAAGGGGTAACAGGTTAAAACTTAAACAGGGGAAGTTTAGGTTGGATGTAAGAAGGAAATTCTTTCCTGTTAGGGTGGTGAGGCACTGGAATGGGTTGCCCAGGGAGGTTGTGAATGCTCCATCCCTGGCAGTGTTCAAGGCCAGGCTGGACAAGGCCTTGGGTGATATGATTTAGCGTAAGGTGTCCCTGCCCACGGCAGGGGGGTTGGAACTTGATGATCTTAAGGTCCTTTCCAACCCTAAAGTTTCTATGATTCTATAACATACCAGAGATGCTGCCCCCTGCTTTGCAACAGTTGTCGGAGAGTGTGCAAAGAGCTGGAATAAAGGCAAGATGGGATTCCCAGAGAAACCCTGTTGGAAGACCATCAGCAGTCTGGCACCGAGGAAGTGCCACTAAGCAAGCTTTCATAACTAGGAGTTAGTGTCGGGGGAAGGAGGCCAGCTCTCTGCTGGCTTTTGATCTGGAATAACTCCCCCCAGCTCGTGTCTTCCAGAGAACATCTTCTTAACAGGGGAGTTTTGCTCCATAGCAAAAAAGCTGTGAGATGATGACATGGTTTGACATCATTAGACTTGCACTTTGACTAACTGCTCTTTATTTTTGTCCTTTTGCAAAACCAGGGGATACTGATCTATCCAAACACCAATCTCTACTGAAGAAGAAGTAACACATCCACCATGACCTCATAGTAGAAAAACTTCATTTAGGTCATTCAATTCTTCTTTGCCCAAATGCCTACATCTCTTAAGTACTTAAGAAAGCATACTGCCAGGAACTGAATTTTTCATTAGATCAGAAAATCGCTTTCACAGCTTTTTATTATATATGTTTTTCATACACAATCTTGTCCGTAAAAAAAAAAAAAAATAATCTTGAAAAAACAGCTATGCCCCAAAAAATATAATTATTGACAAATAGGTTAAGTTTCAAAAGAAATGGGTCACAATGTTTTATTTTGATCAATCATCATTTCAAAGTTCATATTCAGGTATAACGCAAAACTGCAAAGCCGTGTTTCAGTTCTATTAGAGCAACCACGGACCCAAGCTGGTACACCTTGGATACTTGTACTTTCTTTGAAGCCATTCATGCAGGAGAATTACAGCCTATCAAGGTGTACAATGGCACCATGGTGTTAGTATTCATTGTAACACATCAGTATTCTACCCATTAATTACAGAAGTCTCTTATCATTTTGTTATAACTATTTTTATTTTCTCTGTAGGATCACACTTCTCTCTTTCTCCAATATCCAGTAAATAGTCTATTTGTAAGTGGTTTTCAGGAGGATCAAGGACTAGCAACAGATGTTTTGTCTGGAATTGCTGGTTATTTCTTTTACTACTTGCACCTGGTACTGCAATGGAAGAAGAAAAAACATGTTTGAAAGTATTATTTTTTCTATGATGATTACTTTTCAAAAATACATTTACTAAAATACTGTGAATTTTTAGAACATTTTTAAACTAAAACATGGCAGAGAAGCTTCTTTTATTTCCACCTGCTGGAGCCAGTTCTATTCTCTCCACCAGAGGGCGCAAGTATCACCAGAGGTGACGGTGCTGCAATGGAGAGACTGCTATACGCATGAGCAGTACTGCGGGCTGCCTTCCTCAAGGACGGCACTCTAGACACAATGAGTGATTCCAGCTACATCGTTTCTTGCTTATGGGTTAATTTAGCCTCAGAGTTAACATTGCGTCCAACTGGTTAAGGCTTCTTATGTCAAAGATAGATCTGAAGAAACAGCAAGGAACTACTGGAGAGATTCCTGCCTCTCCTAAATCTTAGGCTCCAGCCCAGGAGTTGCTGACTTCCCAGGGATGTGTGCTTCTTCCGTGCAGTACAAACACTCATGTCCCTCACACACATGCTTGAGGACACTAAGACCAACTACCTTTGGGAACACTGGGCATCAGAAAGAAGAAAGGACTTCGTAAGTACTAAAAGAGATCTTTAAATATTAGACTGAGAGCAAACACATTTCAAGCAATGTTCTAGGAAATCAGTAGCAAGAGTATGAAATAAAGGCTTCTGAAAAATCTCAGAACCCATGCTGCCTTCTAGAACAGTGAAAATACTCCAGAGAAGACAGCTAGCTTTTAGACAAAAGTGTATTGTAACATGCCTTTGACCTAACAGGGAATATTATCCAGACTCAGCACTTTCAGTGTAACTGAGCCATAGTTAAACACACTCAGATGCATTTTTATATACATACATACAAATAGATATAGAGAAGGGTTTGCCTTAGGTGTGATGCTTTCAAGTGTGGCTCTTCAGGTGGATGTGATGGTTCAGTCTTTTATTTCTGGCTCCTCCTAGTGCATGCACACAAGCGTTAGAGGTACGTAATAGATTATAGGATCACCTCCATAAAACTGTGGATTTCCCCCTTTTCAGTCTTGTAGTAATTAATGCTTGCTAAAAAATCCCACCCAATTTCAAATCTCATTTTTAGTATCTGTAATTCTCCTCCAGGCTTGCTCAGAGTGACAGTTTGGTAATTTTATAGTTTGGGTTTTTTTTCTCATGTTTTTAAAAGATGTGTTTTCATGCTTTTAAAAGATGCGCTTACATGCTTTTACATGCCTCAGTCAAATTTCTTCTGGGACAAGTAATCTGAATACAAGCTAACAAAGTTGTTTCCTTCTCATGGTGTTTGGCTGCTCAGTCAATTGATGAGTGAAGAAGAGGCAGCAGGAAACAGCAGCTGCCTTGTTAATCACAGCCCTGGGCTGCCATACAGAGAGGAAGTCTTTTATGTGGCAAGGGGGAGAAACTGTGAATGTATCTCCATAGGTATAATTGCCACTCCTTGTGAAGCCCTTGTGATGTGCAGTTTTCAAAGAGTGTTCCAAAAGGATCTGAACTTTCTCCAAGGCAAGATTGTAAGGGAAATTGTATTAAACAATCTTTTGGGAAGTTTTTCTTCCCTTAAACTTTTTCACAGATGTTACAGCATCTTTGCCTCGTTTTAAAAGAGGCATCATTGCCTCGTTTTTAACACCAGTGGACCTCATTTTAGCGATGCATGTTGCTGGATGAGAGCATGCGCCCACAAATACCAGCTTAAGCTAACGTTTACAGCCAGGCTCCATGATATTGAACAGCTGTATCCATCCTAGACCCTGGACTGACAAGACATTAAGAAACTGTTAAGAATAGTATCAAAACTGCAGAGGCACTTTAAAGCAAATTCTTTGTTAGCAGAAACTGTCTTTGCTTTCTATATACTCTTTCAACACATGTAATATGAAGTGGAAATAGAAGTTGTGTACGTTGCTTCCCTGCAGCCAAGACCTTGAAAATTCTTATTATCAGAATATTTCAGGACTGGAAACAAATATTACCCACGTAGGATACTTGTAATACAAGAAGTAAAAAATATCCTCTTAGTGTTTGTATATTAAAAAAAGAGTGATAACTGGAAACATCCTGTGAAGGGAAAGTAAGTAAACATTACTGATTTGTTTGCAGAGCACTGTCTTAGAAGCAGACAGCTGGAATTAGAACCACCATGAAAATATGCATAATACTTACAGCATTATCAGTAACTTTTTATCATTTTAGTTTGCTTCTTGGCTTTTATATCAAATACAGGTTGCATGGTCTCTAGAGCAGGCATTTTCTGTGAAGCATTTAAGTAGATCTTAGTCTGCTCTGAAACAGTAAGAGAGAGGACTGTATGTAGATCTTAACTGGATGTGGAAAGAGCTGGAGGAGTTCCCTATGCAGAAAGGAGAAAGAGGGAGCCAAACCTTTGGTGATTTATGACTCCGTGAACAACTTCGAGAACAGCCCTCAGCCCTCTCTTTGCCTTTTCCACAGCTCACCTAACTTCTGAAGTGCAGCTCTGCCTTATGTTTCACCTGACCTATTGCCACACTTACTTACACTGACAAGATAGTACACATGCACACGCTGGGATGTCAAGTGCTGGGGTAAAAACCACAGGTAACTGCTCAGCACATGCTCTTGATGTAAATCTTGTCCTTCCCACTAAGACCATTCTTTGCTACTCAGTCAGTGATTTTTATGAAACCTGTTAAAGGTTAACTTCGGAGACCTTGCTCCTCTGTTAAATGTGAGTGAAGTTGGTCAATGGGTTCAACCAAACTGCACAAAGGATAGACATTGTGGAGGCCAAGGAGTTGAGAAAACTGGCCTAAGAGTTCTCAAACATGTCTCATTTACTTTGAAGAGGGGCCTAGTAAACCCTGTTCTCAAAAGACAGTTTTCTGCATCATGGGAATCCACATCCAGGCGGTTTTGAAGAGGGAAATACATGCAGCAAAACTGCTTTCGATGAGAGCACTGCAAAATACCATAAACAGTCCTGACCATGTATTTGCAAACATCTGGCTTGATCCAGGCTTGCATCTCTTTAGATGAAAGAGATACTCAGTTGATGTAACCTTGCTTCCAGAAAGTTCCATTCTGAATAAGAAGCACAATCTGGGCTGCACTCAAGTTTTTAAGAGATTGTTTAAAGCAGTTGGTTTTCTTGTATTTTCCAGTAATATGTTCAGTGGGGCATGTACTAAAACAAACAAAAAGCGATTATTTTAGTGTTGTAAAAAATACCATTTACATCCAAGAAATAGATCAAAAGATGTTCTTTTATAAACAAAATTCCCATCCCGCAGACACAATGGTATGTACAATAACATCACACTTTGCCAAGAGATTCCAGTATAAGACACAGTAATTCAAAAGAAACAAAGTGTAAGTTTATTGGGCGCCAACATTTCTTAGTCAAGATCTAAGTAAAGAAAACACACAGTAGAAAAAGTTGTACAAAGCAGCAATGGATTTACATTACATTAAAGAAAAGTTACCCTAAGCTATTAAGTCTCAGTCCTAAAAAAAGTAAAAAGCCATCCTCAGGTATTGAACAGATATAGAATGACTGTAAAGTATACAGGATTATAAAACCAGCTTCTTTTGTCTTACCTCTATAATCCTTTAAAATGACAAGTGATTTTGTGTAACTGGAAAACTCCATAGCAAATATATTGGGTAATTCAAATTTCTAGAAACTGTAAGAAACTATTCCTCTGTACCCAAGCACTAAAAGTGATCCCATTTTCCTGGCTTTTTTTAAAGGGACACTGTCAAGAATAAGCCTTAAAATGTGCACTTTATATGTTTTTTGCATGTTACATTGCAAAAGATAGTTTGTTCTGGGTTTATGTACGTATTTTAATTAAAGATGCTGCTGCAATAGTGGGAAGCTTGTGTCTTTAAAAAGTAATTTGTATGGCTGAGGAACCAGAAAAGCAAAAAATGGATTAAGTCCTTTATTCTGGAATAGAGAGAGAAAAAGCAACATGGAAAATAAGCTCAACCCACAGAATTCAGATATATTTTTTAGACATCCTTGCAACAATTGAGGATGCCAAGGCAGCTTGTTATGACTCAATTCCTGGTTTTAAATTCTTTGATTTTATTAATATCAAGTATTCTTAATACAGATAAGTACGTTTACTGTATACAACCTTTCTCTTGATAGTGTCCCTTTATGTACAACAGTTATAGTACAATTTTCCACAAGTCATTTTAAATAAACAAGAATCAATGACATTAAAAAAATACTATTAGGCTGTGTTCAACAAAAACAACAACAAAGTTTTTAACACTGATTCATTAACAGTAACATTAAAAAAAAACCAAACAAACCCAAAACCCCAAACCCTTAAGCTTGCTTTGATTTTTATCTAAATCTTCTAGTAGGAAAATGTAAACAATTTTATTAAACAGTATAGGCACCTGCCAGATTACAGGCTCATGCCAGATATTTGCACCCTCACTGTTTAGTGCCAAAAAGTTAGGCATAGTCTGTCCTTATCCCATGTGAGTAACTTGTAGTTTTATCACTGGAAGCTTGGAAACAAAGAGTACGTATAGCTTCAGACCAAACCTGCGGCCCCCCCTTACTTGGGGAAAAACAAACATCAGACAAAAAAAAAATAAATCTACTGGATGTCACTAGAAGGCCTGCCTAAATAGGAAATGCAGGAAGAAGACTTTCAGAGCTGTGTTTTGGTTCATGGATAAGGCTACATCTCCCTTCTAAAACACGTAAGACAAATTCTAGTGTCACCCACTGCTTCAGCAGGTTATCTGCCCAATTAACTGTCAGAGGGTGTTTCACTCCCCCTTACAAAAAAAAAAAATCCCCCCAAAGTAGAGACTCTATTATTACTGGTTCATCTCCTTTGTTTTTATAAAACTACAGAACTATACCCTAGCTGTAGATGCAGTTTTTATGTAGAGGAAAATTAACTTAAACTTTTGGTTCTGTACCTATTTTCTGCCATTGCTCTTTCAAGGTTGATCATGGTCCCAATCTACCAAAGAGCTTAAGCACATGTTTTTAAAAAATTAAGACTGATCTTAAAGGAACTTAACTTAGACACTTTGCCAACACAGTGCCTGAAAAGAAAAACAAATCAAAATACGTTTCATGGCTCAACCCTGCTCCTCTTAAATGCAAGAAACATTTCCACTGTATTTCTACTGAAGCAGGATAGTCCTCTGAGATATATCCAACAGATTATAAAAATAGCAAAAAAAATGAAGAATTAAAGATTCTAATCTATATATTAAAACATCTGCACATTCCTGTCACAAAATTTAAGAAGCAAACCACTTTTTATATTTAACAAGACCTCGAACTTTGTGTCACTTTAGCACACAGCTAAAATATTAAACAAAATATGATGAAGACAGGCTTCTGTATCAATAAATTTGCCTTTTATTTTGGCTGAGGCCAAACTAGACACTCTTCAAAAGACCTTTATTTATAAACAAGCAACTAACATTTTTTTTTCCATAATTTAAGTTTTAAAACATATATTAAAGTTATATAAGTGGAAGCATATTTATTCGGTATCCTCCAAAATAAACACTTCTATCAAGGGCTTTTTAAGATACTGTATAAAAGCTAATAGAAAACCACAACTGCTATATAAATATCTCCTATTTAAACTTCAGAGATCCTGAATTCCTTTATTAAACAACAGGAACTGAATTAAAAAAAAACAAAACCAAACCAACCCACACAGCTCAAAAAAAAACTTACAAAAATTCAAACAAAAAAACCCCCAAAACCCAAACGCTTAGAAAGAGGCTACTTAGACCAAAATATTTTATGTATTTTTTTATAACACATAGTGTACTAGGAAAAACGTCAAGGTTCCTTCAAAGCTGTTGCACAAACTTTTCATTTAAGTGTGTGAAATTTATCATTGTATTACATAGCAGAATTCCAGTTGGAAGTTAGACCATTATGACACAGCTGACCTAGTTGCCATCTTGCTTCAGAAAGCACACGGATTTTTAAAAGGCTACATATAAATTTGCAGACTGTTGTGTAGAGGAATCATTGATGAAAACTTAGGAACCATTAAAAAAACCCCACCCCATGATTATATTTTATATGGACAGATTTCTTAAATACATTTAAAGGATACTTAGGGAAACTTTATGTTTTTCTGATTTTATTAAACCAGGTGAAGTGCAATAAACTTGTTCTGAAATTATTTCTGGTAAGAAAGAGATTTAGTCTTAATTAGGTGAAATAAAAAAGTCTGTAACTAAAAATGTCACTATTAAACAAGTACCTTGTTTTAATTGCAATGTCACCAAAAGAGTTTAACTGATACTCTAACAAATTAGCGCAATCATATTCAGGTATCATTTGCCTGAAAGAGGACAAAAAAAAAAAAAAGAATAACACGTTACTATTAGAAGTGTTCAGTAACAATTTTAAACAAAACTGAAACAGAAGAGGCTTGAAAGGAACATTGCAATATTTTGGTAGCTGAAAAAATGTCAGGGGTCCATCCTGAGCCAATTCTTTTAAATTTAACTTACAGGAAAAATAATGATAAAAAAACTCTGTGCTCTGACACACTTGGGCTTTCACTGAGAAAAGAATCTCCTCCTGCATGTGCCTAACTAAGGATTCCCATCTTCAGATTCTTAGGAGTTACATTTGTGCTTGATTTGCCTAAATCTTGGTATCAGCTTGCAATTCTTCTTAGTTGAGATGCTGAAATTAAAGATTCTTTCCTGCTTCCCCTGGAACTCATGACCTGTTGTTTTCAGCAAACACAGACTGGACTCAAGAGTATGTAGTGTGGAATGCAAATCCCTTCTCCCAGCCCACACAGGGTAAAGTTGGTCAGGATCATAAACACTGTTTGCATCATTTATGTTCACTTTAATTCATCACCACTCCAAGTTTAAATTCTAGTAGAAGAATTTTTCACCGTTAGTTTCCCACCTACTTCTGGGTAAATATTTCTTTTACTTACAGAGTAATTTTGGACCCTTACTATAGCTTCTGGTAAATATCAATGATCTCATACTAAACACTCCAGTTGATTTGAGGTAAAATAACGGAACCACACAAAATACCTGCATCCCATAATTACCATGATTTTCAACAAATCAGAAAACTGCAACACGGTATCACACATGACAGAAAGCGTCAGAAAGAAATATTCTATGCATTGTATTCATAAAATGCAGTGATTGTAGTGTGATGCTTTTCCTCTGCTTTGAGCTGGATATGTATGCTTAATACAAATTTCAAATACATACTTCTTCATTTATACAGGTGTCTATATAAATATTTACATTTTTAGTTTATATTAAAACATATCTTCGTACTCATGGCCAAGCTTATTACTCTGTGTAGGAACAGAACTCATCTTCTGTGCCTTAATGAGCTCTCTTTTTGATTTAATAGTTATACATTCCTTTGTAGTTAGAATTACAAACAGTTGTACAAATAGTGGAAACAAAATTATGAAACTTGTCTGACATCCATTCAATCTTAGTTCATATTATAAACAGTACCATTTGCATTAAGATGGCTGTTAATACGACTTCAACTACCAAAGTATCTATAGTAAATTAGTCTTTGGACATTATAGAAAGTAAAGTACACCCTCCCACCCAATTTTCCTTAGAAACATATAATTAAATGGCTGAAAGCAGGCTTGCTGCTACTTTTTATATAAAATCTTAATAATATTGCTGACTTTCTATTTTAATCTGCACAAGTTCCATATAACAAAAAAACAATCCTATGTTCCCTTAAAATATCAAACATTTGTATCCAATAACATCAGGATTACTCAAACTTGAGGTTTCTTTGTTATTGCTAAAGGTTTCTAAGACCTAAGTCAATATAGCAAGACACTCCATCCACTTCCTCCCTAACTGCAAGTGCATGGCAAGTATTTATATGGAGCTCATGTGTTTATTTCTTAAAAAAACCCATAAAATAATGAAGTTGGTTACAGTATTTCACTACTATAAACTCACAGTTAGACTCCAAATTGTTGTTACTCTTTCATTTAATATATAACTTTATATATAATACACACGCACACACCAACATCACGGGATGAAGATCCATGCATACAATCCAGATGTGATCGCATTTCAGTGTTAAATGAAATTAAAATCATTCTGTTACTATTAGATCCCAGACCACAGTATTTTAAATTACTCTGCTATCTACTAACCAAGTTAGTTTACCTTAATCTTCAAATTCAAGCAGCATCACAAATTCCAAATTTTTCCTCATCCTTGTTGTCACTTTGATCCTCTTGAATTTCTAGTTTACATGGCATACATCTGAGATCCTGAACACAGCCTCCAATGAACCAGCTTTTAAACTTATCTGTTAAAGCTAATTGTGTGTCTGTTCATGGCTCCAAAGACTAAAAGCAGTCTTGAAAGTCCTATGACAGAGTTTACACATGTATTGTCTTTTGAAAGTGATTGCTGAGAGTGGTGGAGCATGATAGAAGAGTGTATCTGACTCCTGTGGTACAAACAATTTTTCAGTAGTAGTGGAGCTTTCAGATAAGCCGGTCGGACTATCAGGCTCCAAAGGCTGGATTTTGGGGAGGGGTGGGGGAGGAGGTAAGGGTGGGGGTGATGGAGAATTAGCTGGTGGACATATCTCAGGCTCCTTATTTGTGGACTCCTCTGCAGCCTGTGACATATGAGACTGGAAGTGACTCCACAGCCGGAAGTTGGTTCTGAAGGCCTTGTTACACACGTGACAAATAAATGGCTTCACAGAGCATAACAGCTCTTGGTGACGCTCCAGTTGTTTGCGTACAGTGAAAATCTTCCCACACTTTTCACAGGGCCACAAACCAGCATCTTTGTTGGAGACTACTTCCTTCGGTTCCCTGCTCGTTTCGGTGACCTCATCCTCTATATCATCCACAGGCTCTTCTTTGATCTGAATTTTAAACTGCTTGGAAACACTCAGGTCTTCAGGGAGGCAGGAGGAATCTTCAGAATCAAAATTTATTTGTTCTGACGAATCACTGAACACACCATCTTCCTTTGCAGTAACAAAATTGTTCATTTTATTGGATTCTGCCTGAGGAGGCAATCTTGATGAACTAGTTATTTCACCATTGTGATCCAGGATAGGTAAAGAAAAGTTCTCTGATGGAGCCATTGTGTTTTGATTATGAACTTCAACTTGATGACGCCAAATACTAAAGGATGATTTAAAGGTACGCATACACTCAAGACAAGTAAGCTTCTTGTATTCACACTTGCTTTCATGCTCATGCTTCAGCTCTGGAGAAGAAAATCTAAGGCTGCAGTAAGGACAGACAGTAGCATTTCTACAGAGTCGCTCATGATTTCCCTGTTCAATAAGTGAAGAGAGCTTAGCATTGCAAAGACGGCACTGATAAACCTCTTTGTTTTCTGCTGGACTTTCAATATGAATATGATCTTTCTGCTTAAGAGCCTTATTTCCTCCAATTGGTTTCTCTCCTGGGTGCATTTTTATGTGCTGCTTAAATTGTGAGAGGAAACGAAACGCTTTCCCACAATAGGTACAAATATAGGCTCCTTTGGTTCTCGATCTTAAATTCCTTTTGATGACTTGTTGTGCTTGTGAAGCAGACTGTCCCGGAAAACCTTGCTTGCCACGTCTTAGTTTAACGATTAGAGCCTTCTTAATTTCTCTCTCTCTCACTATATCAATCAGTTTTCTTTGGAATTTTTCATCCAAAACAGCATGCGAACTGGAAGCTGGTGAGGGATTCTTCACAATTCCATGTTGCGTCTGGCAGTGCGTCCACACTTTGAAATTTGTGTGAAACCTCTTGTGGCATATGTCACAAGCATAGGGCTTCTCTGGATTATGATACATGTTAACATGACGATGAAGACCTGCTGTTGACCTGAAAATTTTAAGGCAGTGCTTGCATTTAAATTTTTTATTTGGCCTTGCTTCTTCCAACTCACTGTATTCATCTTTACTGACATCAGAATCAGGAAAATCAGCATCAAGGTGCGTAGGGCTTGAGCCTTCCTCAAAGTTATCTTCTGACCCAGGAGAACCCTGCTCATCTGCCTTCAGTTTCTTGAATGGTATTGTTCTATCAGCTTGAAATCTCCTCTTTGCTGGAAGGCTGCTTGGTTCCTTATGATCATCCTCAGTTTTAAAAGAAAAGTCTTTATTTGCCAATGCTGAAGCATCACCCACTGTAACTCTTATTATTTCAGCAGGATCTGAAAGTGGACTGCTAGGTTCAGTTTTTATTCGCACCTCTGTGAGAGGAGAAGCAACCTCCCTATCAGTTGACTGAGAGGCACTGAAAGACCTAAGGCGATGTGGGTGTATTACCTGTGGTTTTTCATCTGCGACTAATTTCTCTGATGACTCTTTCAAGGATGACTTTTGAGATACAACATTAAATGTCTTCTGGGAATCATTAATTCCTGGTGAGGAGGATGATGATACCTGTGAAGGTTTTAGGTCAACAGAAGGTGAGTAAATGGGAACCTGGCTGTCCATGGACAGTGATCTTCGAAGGAGACTTTTTACAAGTGGCCCACTTCTGTCAATACTTTGGTTTTCTGGACGAGATCCACTAGATGGGATTACTAGCCCTAACTTTGAGTAGTATAGCAAATTCCTGTCTTCACCTTGACAACTTCCTTTTCCTGCCTCTCGCAACAAAAACGTAGATTCTGATGTACCACGCAGAGACAAGACTGGTGGGCGCGATCTTTTTAATGACATCTCTGCAGCCTTTCCTCTTAAAAGCTGACCACTGCTTCCTGGTTCATCGCTTGCAATTTCTTTTTCTGCTAAAGGCATTTGAGGAAGTACTGTGTTCTTTTTCAGTAAACCACCTCTGCTCTGATCCTCCACAGTTCCAGAAGTTTCATGAACCTTGGTATAGCTCGCAGGGCTTTCTTTCAGCCATCTCCTTTCAGTCAGTGACAAGTTGTGAAGGGTTTCAGCTGGTTTTGTTACTTGTGGTCTACTGCTAGTTTTGACAGCAACAGAGGATGAAGGTTTAGAAGTATGGCTTAAATCATGTGTTTGATTTATACCTTTCACTTGTGCTTCAATTCTGTTCTGACAGACAATGACACTTCTCTTCTGAGAACTACTTTCATCTTCATCTTGATACAGTATCTTTTTCATAGGGCAAGCAGGAAAAGGAGCTTGAGGACTCTTAGAAACAATGTTTGTAAGAAAGGATATTCCAAGACTGTAGCCCAACTCTTGCACAGCTGCAAGACTGCCTTTCTCAATGAACAAGGATGAAGAATAAATGTAGTTTAATACATTATCAAAAGCATCTGGCTCACAAAAGTCAAGTTGAAACACTGACTGAGACTCATTCTCCTTATTCGTGAACAGAGTCTGGAAGTATTCACTGCTGGCAGCCAGAACGTTTTTATGAGCTCGAAATTTCTGATCTCCTACAATGAGAACAACATCACACAGCTGTCCCTTTAGACGCTCCTCATTCAGTGTGCTTAGAAGTGAAATGGCATGAGCTGGATTTATGTAATGCAAGAGCCCCTCCATGATTCTGGTGTTTCTGAAAAAGAACAACAAAAAAGAAGTTGTAGGTTACCTCTTGTGAACAGTTGTTAGAGATTAAAGTAAACACACCTAATCCTTCTGTATTTCATAAACTGGCTAACCCAACATCAACAGTGCTGAAGAAAGCATCTTGTCTGGAGGAAAGCTATGGGAATTAGAATAAAACTCTTACCACAAGCATGAGAAGAACCATCTCATGTGCCTGCTTTCAAATACAGTGCTAAATACTCATTTTACAACAAGAATATTACACCTAACTAACTGGTGGACTGTGTTCTCTTCCAGCAATATATCTGTCCACATGATGGAACAGTTCAATCCTTTCACTATCATCTCAGCTTTAGCTTTATGAAGATCTATCTTGACAACTACATTGATAAACTATTTGAATCAGATATCTAAAGCTCAGTTATGCCAAGCCACTTTTCTGAGGTTAAGTAACCCTGTCGGTTTCCTGCTGAATAAACAAATTAACAGGATTTTGTTATAATTTTTAATAGGATGATGGAAAGAGCAATACTGGGAAGGCAGAAGAAAACAGGATTATTGTCTGTAATCTAGATTCATTCATAATGTTTGCTTAGGCTTAATAAGTATTGTTAATATATACTTCTAGCTATCAAATATGTCACTTATAACTGCACGGACAGGATCTCGTTTCTTGGAAGTGACACAACTATAACTGAAGTATCTGTGCTTGCTTTATTCTAACTCTGTTTTATTTGTTAAAATAAGAGCACTTTATGCCCACAACCCATAAAGTTGAGGAACAGCTATCCTCAGATGCATCCAAGAGTACACTAAGCACCAATTAAACTGCAGTACAGAAATCTCCATTTCCATATGCTTCAAAACACAACCTGCTTCTTACTGCAGGATATCTCAGTAACTCAGTACACTGCTCCTAATTAGATCTTAACAAAAGAAGAGACTCAGGTTTTAAGTTGGTTTAAACCAAGAACTTCTGGGACACGAGCTGAAATTTGTATTATCTGTGCGCATGCACAGACATAGAGAAATCAGCAATATCCAATTTTCTTTTCTCATGCATGCGCTTACAATTCTGTTCAAGTTAACCTTTAAGAATTTTACACTATCTTCCTCCATGGTGGTAGTAAAACAAGCCAGTGATGTGTCTGATTGAAGCAATTCTCTTCTTTCACAGCTGACTTGAGAAACTACTCTTTAGTTTATAATTTATACATGATGTATGCCGCTACAACAAAAAGGTGTCACTATTCATCAGCTCACAAGGAAAACTGATAATAAAAAACAATATTAAGAAGCTATAACCCTTTGATTAATGTGGGTGGTATATCTTATAACAAATGGATACAAGTAAGTGATCAAAGTCTAAATCGGTATTATTGAGAAATGACTTAAAAGTGTGCTGCATTCAGAGTCGTGGGGCATTGATCATACCATAGGGCTAAGCTACCACCTCTAGATCTCAAACTACCTTGTCTGAATGACTTAACAGCATCATGACTGTAGCAAAAGCAGAATTCTGTTTCCTCACTCGATTGGTACTGAGTGTTTCAGCGCTTTGCAGTATCATTTCATAAACACTAATTTATCCTTAATTCACATCAGAGTTACAATGCATAATTCCCCCAATCCCCCTAAAAAATGCAGAGCAGTCAAGCTTCTATGAATTTGAGAAACCAATCTGACTTAAGTTAGCTTTCTATGTTTTGCTTAGAACGACTGTCAGTGCTACCCGTATCCTTTGCAGATGCCACTGCAATTTAAAGTGGTGGAGTTTGATTGGCTCTAATCCAGTCCCATGGCCTAAGCATGCATTAACACAAGGAGTGTTATTAGAACGAGTGTTCCAGGAATGCATCTTTTCCTTTAGCTTCATCTGAAAGACACTGAATTTGCAAACTCAAGTGATTCATCTGGATGCAAGTTGTAGCATAGGATATGGAGGTAACAGATGAATAGTATGCTTATGAAGGAAACTTGAACTGAAGCAGTATTATAGAGAAATCCAACAGAAGCAGGTGTAGAACCCATACTTCAAGAACACAGTAGGAAAGGAATATATTAGTCAAATGTTTTGAAATATTTTCAGGTATTTCATTTTAATCTGCTTTACCCAGGCCTTGTGTTTTGTGTAAGACACTCACAGAGTAAACACCATGTAATTACTATGTGTTCCTTACAACAGTCTCATAAACCAGTAATGCTATTAGTAGAGACAGGTGTAAAATCTGCAGGTCTAAAGCAGAATCCAAGTCACACATCCTTCTTCTACATTCTTTTTATTCACAGGACACCTTCAATTTATTACATTAAATAAGACAGGGATAAGCATTCCACTACGATCCTCCCTTTTATTCTCAGAGCAGTCGCTTCTGTGAGGTGGAGGCAGAACTCTTTTGTACAATATAACTGTGTCACTTTAACAGTAACCAAGGCCGCAACATACACAAATGGCAAGGGACATAATTAATCCTGCAAAGGCAGCATTAATCCTGGAATTTCCTAATTCAAGCGCTTGACTTTCAGCTTAATAGCCTTTAAATGTAACAGTCAGAAATAAAACAAGCTATGATACTTCAAGGACCAAACCAGAACTGGTTTGCAGAACCATTTTAAGATGTTTACACAGATCAACTGAAAGCCTGAAATATTTAGATACAAAAAAATGCCAAAGACTACTACAGCAAATGTACACTGAATTAAAATTTTACTACATGAACACTTTTCAATAACAAAGTTGATCAGAGACTGCACACTGCAGTTCACTCCTTCAGCCCTGCCAGTACAAATATTCGCAGGCATGTTTTACACTGCAGCTCAGATAATAAATAAAAAACCCAAATACTGTTTCTTTTCCAATGCTGGTCAATTTTTATATTAAACCACAATCTCAAGAACAATTGCATTGGCATAACTGAAGAGGCAGCAAATGGTGGTAGTGGAGCAGCCACAGGAAGACAAAAACTCCTTACAACAGTTTGTCCTCACAGCCAATGCTTGGCTCCCTGTGCTCAGCCTGACACAAAAAGGTGTGCCTAGCCTGTTATCTGCAGATAACAGAACTATGGCAGTCTCTTGAATACTAGATGTTGATTACAGGTGTTTGAGGACTCGTACTTCCTCAGCCGAAGATTATTTTGCCACTAACTACCTAACGTTTTTCCTCCAGATAATCTGCTTCTATTCTCTCCAACCATTCTTTTCCAGCCACCTTTGCTACTCACTGGAAACAAAGCTTTTTCCTCTTCAATTCCATAATGTATGGGTTACATCAAGGGAACAGTAGGAGCATAGCAGAAAAATCTCCTATTGTCTGTGTTCAGGTGCCACACGCCAGCAGCTGCTGGTCCTCAGGAGGAACAGTGACAGCAAGAGTCCAGACCCAAGAAGGGCTAGTTCAGCTGGAGCACTGCAGCCTTCCTGATTTTAGTGTCAGTCTTCAACAGCCCTCTCTACCAATCTCAGCAAACAAGATTTCAGAAATCTAAATACCAAATTTGGTGCAAGATTATTTTATTTTGGTTTTGAACAAGGATAGAAAAAGACAATTCTACTATTTCAAAATTACTTTCTGACAAAAGGAAATTGCTCTTCACAAGCAAAGGGTGAAAAAGCTTAATCTTTGGCCCAGCAGCTTATTGATCTTCAACATACACCTGCTTTTGAAGTGGTACTTCCCCTTCCTCCCCTCCACCCCTTACTATAACATGTCATCCTCCCAGCCCTGTGGTACCCTTCTCTTCCTTTCACCATCTCTGCTGCTCATTTGCCCTCCCAGTAAGTTGATTCAGCTCCCTAAAATGAAACGGGAAACAAACAAAATCAATCCAGCTTTTTAGATATTTTTGCTGTTTTACTGTTAGGAGCTTAACCAGCTCACCGAGAGGTCAAATAAGCACCAGAGTTGCAGCAAAAGAAGACAAGAACCTACCCTTTCTTTGTCAGCAAGTGGTTTGGTCAGCTCTGCCCATCTGAAACTTGACCTTAAGAAGCAATGAAGTGACTGATGCTGAAACCTTACTGGTAGAATTAGGCAGGTATTTATGTGAACAATTTCAGCATAACAGCTTGCACTTGCAAATACACAAGCGACTAAAATAAGATGTTGATGTTGCCTGCTGACTTCCATTACAACAACATAGCTGTCAGCTAAAGCTGTGTTAACAGCATGCTGGGGGTGGCAGTGAGAACCTGAAACACTTAATGAGATGCAACGCCGCAGCAAGGAGCACCAGGGCTGTAAGAAACCGCAGCTAGAAGCGGAGAATACAAGGAAGGAGGAAGAAACAACAGAGGAGACTGGCAAGACTGGGGACTGAACAGGGGTTTCAACAGGGATAACGTACACAAGAAGTGTGGTGGGAGCAAACCCACTGAAAAACACATAGAAACATGGATTATAAGTCAGCCAGGAAACACAAATGACTTCCTGGTGTATCCCCCTGTAAATGCGGGAATATTGCACTCAGTTGCAAGTGCTTTGCACAGGATTTGAAGGCTCTGAAAATTCACATGCTGCTTCAGACACAACAGGGGAAAAACGTTTCATTACTCACCATGAGTTCAGATACAAAAGGAACCTACACTGCTTAAACTTCTACTCAAGGATCATATGTTGGATTTTATTATGTCAGTTTGACAGCAGTTCATCAAATGCCTCTGCTCCCATCAACAGCCTTGGCAACACAGATATTCTCCTACAGTCCATGTATATATATTTACAGACACACTCCCTGCTACACATCCCCAAAAGCTATATGTGAAAGCTCCAAACCTGCAGAGCAAGGTTGTTTGCACTTGTATAATCTTTTTCTAACCAAATATTTGAGTAATCTCTCGTTGCAAGTTTGGGGATTCTGTTTTTCTGGATTGAACCAAATGTGATTTAAATGGCTATCACTGTTTTCACTGGAAATAATACTGCAGACTTTCTCCATGAAGACAGACTTTTTTTCTTTTCCAATGGGTCATCAGCAAGGAGACACTGGTATGAAGACAGGCATAAAATCAGATAAATAATGTATTTGCTAGTGTGTGAAATTGATGTATTAATTTTCAACCACTCATCCTTCACACAGAAAGCAGAAGAAATTTAGAGCAAAGGAAGAAATTCTATAATATTGTGCAGTTTATTTTGCCCCCCACTAGAGACAAAGAATTAACAGGTATCCTGATATAAGAAATTACCTTTGAAATTAGAGGCTACTTTTCACACGCAGTACCCTTAGTTCTGCCAACTGACACTCAAAATAGCTCCTCCCAACTTGCAGCAAACTACAAGACGTCAGAGCAGCACCACAAAGTTCCACTGGTCCTTACTCTTGTTTACAAACAAGCAGCAGCTAAGCGTGCAATGTCATTTTACTCTCAGTCTAACCTAACCAGGGATTGCTCCTGCAAGGAGCTCCTGCAAGGAGCAATTCATCTCTCCTCCCTCACCAGGGAAGGACTAGCTCGCTGTCAGATCAGCAAACTGATCCAGCCAGCCGCAGGATTGCACAGCTACTAGATATAAGGGAGAGGGCACTAGCTGTGAGCTTTTCTGGTTCTTCTTGAAAGAGTCCATGAAGATTAAAACACAGCAAACACAGTTTGAGAAAGTATTTGTGCTTAGCCTCAATGCCTCAAGCGAAAGGTGTCTAACTCATCATCCAAGTTTCTGTAAACTAAATCAAGGGACTAAGAAACTTAAAAAATATCTTTCGCTAAAAGTCCCTTCAGGTTTTATTCTCCTGAGTTTCAGAACATTGCCATTAGTCTCTGATGGGGCAAGCTCAAAAGGCTTGATGGCTATACAACAGAAACACCTACAAAAACCTCATCTGCAGAAATATTTCGTATGACTTTTTGGTAAGAGATGCATGAAATTGAGAATTTGAAGAAGGGGAGACACACATCAAACATATACACATATATTCTTTCTCCAGGTTGACTTTATTATTTTTCTGGTAATGCTGAGATACACTTACCAAACTGAATAATATTCCGTTATCTGCTTTACTATATAAGCCACTTTTTTTCCCTGTTTAACTGTCTCAATTCACAATAAAATCTTGTCTACATACTGCTTTTGATTTTGCTGGTATAGTGAAAATGACAAGCCTTACTTGTGGGCACATTTCTATTAATATAAAGGTGCTTTGTACAGGCAAAGTACATTTCAGATGGGAAGAGAAGCCAATTATATGACGATAAGGTACTTTTCTATCAACAGAATTGTGTTTACACTAAGATTTCTGTAAGAAAACAAGAGACTGGGGGAAAAGTAATGCACTTACTCTGAAACATGCAAAACTAATATAAAACCTGGGCCTAAAAATTGCCAAGTGAGAAACCTATGATTCAGGGAACGCAGGTATCTTCCACCCACTGAAGGGATCCAAAGAAAACGCCATTCAGCCATCATCTCCATTCAGCCATCAGTAATTATGGGCAAGATACTGGGAAGACGATACTGCAAAAGGGGAAAGACAACAGCAATTTTACATGAGTTTTACATAAGAGATTTACAAGGTCATGAATAGCACATGGAAGATTTTCAGCTTATTCAAAGTCCACGTGCATTTGGAGGCAGGCAACATCTCACATACCTTAAAATTCATAATTAAAAATCCCCCTCCATGAACAAGAACACTTTCCTCAAAAGTATTTATGAGAGAGGAGCTGGCCCCGTTCTTACTGAACTTCCAGGGAATTTGGCCATTTAACTCAACAGCTGAAAGACTGTACTTAAGAGTTATACCCTGGCACAAATTAAACCAATTCCTTTTGGTTGTGACAGGTAAATTACATTGTGGCAAACAGTGATTAGAAACCACTGTAATTCTGCTGCTTTTCCTCACGTTTCTTACTTCGAAAGGGCTTTTGCGAGGCATATTTACTATTCAAGTACACAATTTTTAAAAGATTCTCTGAAGATACTCACAAATGTATTCAGACCAGAACACCAAAGAGTTCACCCCAAAGTACCTTTAATGCTTTTTTAGCTCGTGGGCACCCACCCCACTGAGAACAGTGGCACAATCCTAGTTCTAGTGTACTTTGGTGTCAGGCTTGGCGCCGGTCTGTGCCTGAGCCACACAATGGTGGAGGAAAAGCAGTGGATGAGAGGGATGGGGAGCGAGAAGTGGCAGAGACACCCACTGTTCACCATGTAAGAACTGTCTCTGTGCTCACCACAACTTATCAAGAAGAGATTACTGAGAATGAACTGCAACCTAAAGATTACTCACACCGTTAAAGTGCTGATGCAGGACAAACCATGGATAAGGAGATTAATGCTCTGAGACAAAAAAAGTGAAAATACTTCTTCCTTTCCTGAAGACTGCAATTTAATTGTATACAGATTACTATGGCAGGACAAAGCATTACAACATTTTTTTTGAAATTATATGGCCAAAGGATTTTTCATGCCTTTTCATCACAGACTGTACGAAAGGTTTTGTACCACAGAGGTGTGTTCACTAAATCTCAGAGAGAAAACCCCCTCAACAATCAGGACTAGGTGATAAAATTCTATTTTGATGGTCTGTAAGGCTGCTGAACTGATGGTGGCAGTGGTGGAGGCAAAATGAGTTTAAGAAGGTGGAACTACTGCATAACACTTCCTCTCCTGCTCATAAAATATGCCCAAACTATTCTGGAACAACGTAATACATAAAGTAGCCAATAATCAAAGGCAACAGATAGTTACTTTTTTATTTCACTGCTGAATGAAAGAAAATGTAAGAGAATTGTTGTCTTAAATATTATCATTAAGAAAAAGAAGGAAAAAAATTACAGCACATAGGCTAATATTAAATCTATACTATAAATATTTTGGGAAAGCAAATCCCTTTGCACAGAACATACATTTTAAAGCAGGGCATACTGCAGTCTTTCCACTTGCAACAAAAGATTTTGCTGCCTCTCAAGATTTCTTTTTCTTCCCTACCAAGCATCGCAGATCATTAAAAGTAGTAGAGTTCATTATGAAACAGCTCACTCGCTCAGAAGTTGATAATTTCTTTTAATGAGAGCTGGAAATAGCTGTGACTGTGGTGCGTGACTCAGAGCATAGTACCTCCCAGTGCAGTACAAACCATATGGTGGTTACAGCCCAACTTCCTCTCCCAGCTCCTCCTTCCTCCACCCTGGAAGTCTACACGTGTTTATAGACCATACTTATCACTATTTCTCAGATGAAACAACTGTCAAAATCTTGACTACTGTAATGGGAAATTACTTGATGTTATTTTTATGGTATCTGCTTCACAGCTACTTAAGTTCGAAAAGAAACAACCTCAATATGGTAAAAAAGCTCATGGCTTCCTGTAAAGTTATCCTTTAAACCCAAACATCAGCATGCCTCTAACTAATTTTAAGGAAAGCGTAGTCAGCGCTACTATGAAAATCACAGCACTAACTATTTAATTCTCTGGATATCGGTATTCTCTAGCATCACAGACACAAAAACACAAAAACATGAGCTCACAAACCCCAATCTCTTAGCGAAATCAAGCTTCTAGTGATCTGCAGCATTCTCAGACTGAGAAACATGTTGAATTTGAGTCACCTGACTAAGTATCACCCTGCCACCAGGAACCTACACACTAGGAATAGGAAGCACAAATATCAACATGTATCACACTGGTGTACGATTAAAGGTAGAATGCAAAAAGGACTTCAGGAACTTAGAATCTATTGCCTCTTTTTACATCAAATAAGTGATAATGCATACTAAAGGATAAGTTACCTTATGCATTAAAAAAAGCACCTAACTCATTATGACTTTAATCCTGTTTGGGATCACAAGGCAATATTGAAATTAGTGGAGGAGCAAGAACACCACTGAGAGTGAAAGACATGGTCACTCACTCTCAGTTCTGCTCCCAAGGGGTCATCTTCATTCCAGTGGCCGCAGGGGAGCTCAGAGCTGGAGATGTGTCTGGCACACATCGTTATAGCTAAAAACTCCACAGGTTGTCATTTGTGACATCTCCCTGCAAGTCCCTGCTGAGAACATGCAAATGACAGTTCCTTAGATGTTCGCAGCATCTTTAGATGTCTGGACTTCCTACAGGTAAACCAAATGTTCTTATGAGATTACAACCATACAGCATGTGGGTAATAAAATTTCTGACAGAAAGCGATGTCAGATGCCCTTCCACCACAAAAAAGGCCACATAATTTGCGTTTTTTTGCCAACAAGGTTTATAAAAACAGTTGCTAAAGTTTGCTCAAAACTTCCCCTTAAGAACATCACCATAACCCTGGTGGAAAATTTTAGTCAAAGCAGATGGTTTGTCAGCACAAAGTCAGAACAGAACACTGTAACTGGCAGCGTTCAGGCAACACAAACAAAAAGCAGTAGATTTACCTGTAACACACATCTACTACCCCTCATTTAGTATTGAAAACCTTGTTGTACAAAAAACACATTAAAAAGATCTATATTGATATGAGCTTTTATCTGAGGATAACAATATTAACTGTAACTAAACTACAAGATCCTCACCGTATGGAATTCACCATAATCCCTTCTTATACCTGCAGCCTACCTACCGCTTACTCCCACTACAACAAAAAAAAAAAACAAATAGCTTTTAAAACAAGTGCCATTTCATTATTAAGAACTTACTCAGGACAGAATTAGATTCCACAGTATTTCCTGTCTCAGTAATAACTCCTTTGAGTTTTCCTGCCGTTCAGTACTTCACATGAGCTGTATCCAATCTGGACATACAGTGACAGTATGGACTTTAAAAGTAAGATTGTCTGACAGCTGTGGTCAGGTCAAACACCTCCCACAGCTTTCTGCAGGCACAGCACACGCTGCTGTGCAGTCCAGAGGAAGGACTTTCCCGCTAGATTACGAGACACACTTTTTCCTCATGACTAACACAGCCAAAGAACACTTGGACTAGTCAAAGCTACACTTTAATACCTGCATGTACTTATACGCCGCAGGAACCTTGCTGGGATGCTTTCCGCCCTGAAACGCGCAGGCTAGCGCGGCTCTCCCTTCAAGACACACCGGGGAGGACCTACAGCACCGAGACGCAGCCCCCCCGGCTCCTCTGCCATGTTTCACAGCTCAAGACCGGAGCCGCCACCTGCCCGCGGGCAGCCCCACAGGCGGAAGCGCCGGCAGCCTCCGCGGCGCCGCGCCCCGGCGGCTCCTCACGCGGCCGTTGCGGCGCGGCGGGGCTGGGCAACCTCCTCCTGAGGCGGTGCCGCCACCCTCCCTCCCGCGCAGGTAGAGGTGGGAAGGGGGGGGGGGGGAAACGACACGAGCGAGCGAGCGGGCAGGCGGGCGAGCGTACGGCCCCGCGCGCCTGCCTTCCCGCCACCCCACCCAACCGCAAGCGGGGCGCAGGCGCAATTACGCGGAACTCCGCACCCAGCAACGCCGCCGCCCCACATGCGCGTAAAGTAAGAGCACGACCGCAGGCGCTCCGCCACAGGCGCGCCGGCGCAGTTGCGCGGGACTCCGGCCGTGCGGGGAGGGAAAGGGGCGGGCGAAGAAGGAGGGGGGCGCACCACACGCCCGCGATGGGCAGCCGGAGCATGCGCAGAAGGCAGCAACCCCAGCGAGTCTTATGTGGCCGTCGGCGGCGGACACCCGCCGCCGCTTCCTCAATGAGCAGGGAGCATGCGCGGGGAGGGGGGAGGGGGAAGGCGAGCGACAGGAGTTTCGTAACCGACGCATGCGCGCGGCGCGGCTCAGGGACCGCAGCCCCGCTCGGTGAGGGGGGAGGGGAGGTTAAAAAAAACACCACCTCAGAGTTACGTCAGGAAAAGACGCCTTTGTACACGGGGAGACCCGCGCGGCGCGGGCAGCCCCCGGAGCGGGCGCAAAGCGCTGCCGTTACTCACCCTCTCCGCCGCCGGCCGCGCCCCACCCCTGCTGCCCCCCTTACGGCGCCTCCTTCTCACTGCTCAGCCCGCGCGCGCTGCTGCCGCCGCCGCCGCCGTGATTCCATCCATCTTGAATTTGACGTCATCCCACACCAGGGATGAGGTCATCGAAGGGAACGCTCGTCACGTGCGCGGCGCTCCGATTGGCCGGCGGGGGAGCGGCGGAGGGGCGGGGGGGGGGGGGGGGGGGTATGACAAGGGGGGTGGGGGAGCCGTCGCGCTGGCGCGGCGGTGGGGAAGGGCAGCGGGGAGTAGACGGTTAACGGGGATTCCCTTCCTTTACCCGCCTCCCGCTCTCCAGACAGGTACCGAACGGGCGGCAGCCCTCACACGCGCTCATCGGCCATCGGCGCCGCGTGGCGGGGACGGCGACTTAACGCCTGGAGTCCCCGAGCACGTCTCCGGCTGCCACCCGCTCCCCCACCTCCCGTGCGGGAGGGAAACTGAGGCAGCGGGAGGGGGAAGGGGGGCACACGGAGAGGCAGGGCCCGGTGTCCCCCTTGTGGGGCCGGTGGCGGTCGGATTCGGTAGGGTGCTGCTGCGGTAACCCGTGCCCCCTCCTTGGCCTGGACTTTGTGTACTGCGGGTGGGGGGCTGCAGGGGGAAACCCGGTTCACCTAATTTAAGAGCCTCATATGCTGTGGGTTTGAAGGTTTTTTTTGGTGGTTTTGATTTTTTTTTTGGGGGGGGGGCTGATTTTTTTCTTCGGTTTGTGTTTTGTTTATTTTTTTAATAATTCTAATCCATGTTTTTCTAAAATGCAGGAGGTGAAGGTCCAGCTCAGTGTATGAAGAAACACTGTCCAATGACATCCTGCCTTGCAGGCCAGTCCGCTGTTCCCTGGAATTAGGGGCCCTGGTGGATTTTGGCTAGGACCCTTTGTAACTGCTGTGCTGGTTCATCTTTATGTGATTTGAGAATTTATAATGGACTTTATCATCGCTTCAGGCTTGCTTCCATTTGATATTACCCACTTTGAATTAAATACCTGAATAAGGCTTTATGTGCTGAAATACAAGTATTAAAATAGAATTTAGAATTACAAGATTTCCCTTGTTTTTGTTGAAGGATAATATGTCCCATTATCTTTTCATTAAATATGAATCAAATTTTAGAGATTAACATTAATCTGCATATGCGTTTTCAGAGTGGGCTTGTAGATAATTCCACCTAAGTTACAAATGCTCTGAAGCAGCTACTAGAATCTGTAATGTGTTTAATGCTGCTTTTAATCGTTTTTGCCACATTTTTGTTGCCAACATCAATGACAGCAACAGTGGTGATGTACCTCAGTGGGTCCCACTCCTCTCTCCCGTCTCCAGGTGTATTTTTTTGTCATTGCTGGCTCTTTTGGTGGTTTTGCCAGCTGTCCATTAAGGGCAATGGGGTTGTTCAGTCACAGGTTTGCACCACTGCTGCTTCTGTTCCAGCAGGGGATAATGGGTTCAAACTTAAGCAGGGGAGACGGTTGAATATTAGGAAAGAATTCTTTACTCTGAGAGTGGTGAGGCACTGGAACAGATTGCCCAAGGAAGTTGTGGCTGTCCGCATCCTTGGCAGTGTTCAAGGCCAGGCTGGACTGGGCTTCAAGCAACCTGGTCTAATAGAAGGTGTCCCCGTCTGTGGCAGGGGGTTGGAACTAGATGATCTTTAAGGTCCCTTCCAACCCAACCCAAGCCATGCAATGATTCTATGAGTGTGGCTATGTGATGAGCCAGCATGAAGCAAGCCACTTGATTTCACCTAGAGTAGTTCCATGATTGTGCTTGTTGTGCAGGAACCCAGACAGCTGTGTTCCAGAGGCACAACAGGACCTTCAATGCTAATGGGAACGAACAACGAGGAAAGCAGTTGGATATGTTTGCATAACCAGTTTATGTAGTGACACTGGCCATGCTGTTAGTAAAGCACTTCTGAAATTAAACTGAGCTCATAAATCTAGCAGTGCCCTGCTAACTTTTCTCATATGCACTCAGTTGTTTCTCAGCCAAGCAGAAACAAACTGCCCTTGCATAATTATTTTCTTGTCTGCACTTCTCCAAAAGGGCCCATGTGACAGATGGAGAACCTCCGTGCTGGAATTATCCTGCTGAAAAAAAAGGTCCTTTAAGTGTATGCAGACACAGCTGTATAAGTGTGTCTGACTGCACATTTGTTATCAGTATTTTTAATTTGTCAGTTTCTGTAGTAAAAGTACACCCATGAGAATGGAGCCCATGCAGGGGCTTGTGTAATTCTGGCAACAGACAGCAGATACTCTCTGTAGTTCTTAAGCTTAAGCAGATGATTTGAGATAGTTTTAAGCATAATTCTCAAAGGTTTTGTGGTCCAAAGGGAAGAAGACTCAGTGTGGCTGTATTCCATGGTGGAGTCTGACTTGATATTATTCAAGTTGTATGGATGCCTTAATTCCCTGTAAAGCAGATTTTTCTTGATTCTGATGAAATCTACGCAAGGAATTCATGCTGTAGAATTGTTTGGGGTTTAAGTTGTCTTTAAGTAGGTTAATTTTGTCAAATACGCCATTCACATTATTTGAATACTTTCTTGTTCTTCAAGAATAGCTTGTTTACGAACATTTTTTTTTTTCAAGCATTTCTAATTTTAAATGCTCTGATGGAGTGCTGAGTTTGATGTATTTTTCATTTCTATGAGTGCAGTTGCAGCTGTTATTACCAGATGCATGTTTGTTGAGTATAAGGTTTGTTTTCCATTCTGAGTATCCAGTAGCTACTCAGATCAACTTTTGATCATACTTGCCAGCAAGCTTAATCACTGGAATTTTGTTAAAAGCTGAACCCCTGCAAAATGTGGAATGTAAAGCAAGCTATTTTAAAAATATGGATTGATAGACATGGATTCTGTGAGAAAATGTGCAGTGTTAGAAAATACTAAACCACTTGCACTGGTTGTATGTGTGAGAATGTACTATTT